CACCTGCAGCCGAATTCATTCCTCAAGCCAGCCAGTCTGTCACATGCTAGAGACGCGGAGCCCCAGACACCGCTGTCACAGGTGAAGGCGGAAAACTCAGAGGAGACATCAGGATGAAGGGGGAGAAGGAGGTGGGCAGCAGCCGGAGAGCTGAAGGGCGCACGTCAGGGCCGGGCTGGGCGTGCAGGCCTGGACTCCCAAGGCTTGAGAGGCCCAGCCAGGCTGGGCTGCACCAGGGACCTTATCTCAAAGAACAAAGCAAAAACCTAAACCAGCCAACCGAGCAAAAGCCAAAGTCAAAACTCACTGGGAACATGGTCAATCAACAAAATATACTTCAGTAACAGGAGTACAAGGCTCGGGACACGGGCAGACGCAGGAGGCCAAGGCCATCTGTCCTCAGCTACCCAGTGAGACCACTCTGGGCTGTACTGCACTTGCTCAGAAAACCCAAACCTCTCATGAGCTCCTTCATTTCCCAAACATAACTAGTTGGAAATTCTCATTCCCTGGAGGCTAGAGACAGCCTGGGCCCTGCAGAACTCCAGCCAGCTGCCTCCTCACAGGACCTGCCCCTCAGCCAGGGACACCCCATCATTACCTCCAGTTCCCAGTCCAGGGGATTAGGAGTACAAAATAATCTGGGACAGGGCGAACCCAGGTTTTGTTGCTGGACCAGTAACTTCCAGGTTCCCACCATGAGGGTCAGGTGTGGAGGCCTCAGGGGGCGGGGTGTCTGGCTCCTCTTCTCAGGCCGTGTGAACAGACCAGGGACCCCATGCCTCGGCGGCCCCACTCATACCCTCTCACAAGGAGTCTGTGCTGTGTGTCCTTAGGCAAGAAATTTGCTTTACAGTTTGCTTTGAGAAATAGATCCATTGAAGCAGGAGGTTTTGGCAAAATCTCGCTAAAAGCCGTTAGGATTAGTCTTTCACTGAACTGTTTATTTCAGAACAACAACCAATAGCAGAAGCCTGCGTAACATGTCCAGGGAAATTCCAGACCACAAAACTGAGAAGGCCACCAAGCTGCCTACATGCCTGCTCATGGGAAACCCTACCGAGAAAACCCAAATCTGCATAATTTGGCACGGCCTAAGACTCCCTCTGAATGCTCGCTCTAAATTCTCAGAAGCACCAGGCCCACACAAAGGCACCTCTGTTCTCCCCCCCAGCTAATCAGTTTCCAGCCACTGGGAAAGAAACAGGCTGGCAGCAGGCCAGGGTGCAGGGTGTGAGTGTAAAGTGTAAAGGTGACCGTCCAGGAGGGCCCAGCTGGAGGCCGAGGTCACTCCCAGAGGCCATGGGAGTCCCACAGACCCGCAGCAGACCTGGCCCGGGCCATACAGGAACACCCCATGGAGAACTCTGTCCCTCAGCCAACAATCTCTGCTAACTGCCCTTGACAAGGACCCACCCAGAAGCTTCTGGGCCGCCAAATGGGATATCTTCTTCACACACGGGCTTCCAGCTTTACTAACATAGTGCCCTGCAGGGCCTCTCTCTGAGCCGAGACCTCTTTAAACATTAGTTCTGGGAGCTGGTTCCCTCATTTGAGCTCGCTGAGATCCCAGATCCCATGCACTCAGAGGGAGGGTGAGCCAGGGCCCACTGTGATGACAGCATCAGAAGAAATGTCCACAGTGGACAGAAAGCAAGCTTGGCAAACAAAAGCCTCAGCATGGCACCAAGCATTCCTGGAGAGGAGACCCCAGCAAACACACGGTGCAGTCCTCAGGAGACTCAAGAGTGCGTCCCACTGGAGGTTCAGAGGAAGACAGGGCGGCTGGGCCTGGTGGCATGGCCTGTAATGCCAGCTCCTCGGAGGCTGAGACAGGAGGACGGGCCCCAGGCTGGAGACCCTATGGAGAGACCTGTCTCAAAACAAAAAGGGCTCGGCTGGACTGGGGAGTGGGACAAGAGGCTCAGGAGCCCCAGGCCAACCTGTCACACTGCGAGGTCAAGGCTAGCCCTGTCTCAAGGACAACAAAACATCAGGGTAGGTTGAGGTTGGCACAGAGCTCATACTGTAATGGCAGGACACTGACCCAGCAGGCATGAGGCCTGGGTTCAGTCCCTAGGACAAGAAAAGAAAAAAGAGTGCCAATTGTGGGGATACTCAACACTCAGAGTGGAGGTACAGAGAATGGGGGGGGGATGATGACACACAGGGACAGGGGACAGGACGGCCATGAGGACCACTGCTGTGAGTTCAAGACCAGCCTGGGATACACAGCAAGACC